CGATTAATTCCATTACATTCTGAATTATTTGTTCGCTTTGCCTGAAGGCACAACCGACAGAATGGAAAATCGTGAAATAACAGATCATTCGAAAATAAAATGTACACGAAAAGATATTTTCTCAACACATAAAAAAATTATCATTTATTATAAGTAGCAGTTACGTAATCGAGCAATTAAACGCGTATTTGCTTCGAATGGAAGACATGATCGATATTCAGACAGCATACTCGCATCGGAGATGTGTCCGTTAAATACCGGCACGACTCCTTGGGCTTGCATAGTGATTAATAACTAGCCGTTCACGTCGCATTACTCATCGACGTCTCACGTGCCTTGTAGACTTCCGCCAGACGAGCGTTACAAGTCTGCTGCGGTTTCCAACTAGACGACCCGCGGCGCGGTCGCCTAGCCACCCGCTCGCCTAAACGCCGCGAGTGTTATTCAGCAGAGTTTCGATGACGTAATATTGTGGACATTTTTTTCGCAGTAATCGACCTCCTAGATCGTATGTCAAATATCGTTACCACACGACGACGGTAAATATTTACTGCCCATACCGGTGAGAAATGCAGCGGTGTACCGCATAGGCAGACTTTACAGCTTTTAGCGAATTACCTTTTCCTTGTTGTTGTTGTTAACCATTAGGAAATGAAATCTCATATCTGTATATCTCACAAAAGCGACTATTATCCATATAATAATTCAAGTTGAAATGTGGTATATCCACGACGTTTCTATGGCAGATGCGTTACAATCTCTCATACGCAACAGAGAGTTGAACGAAGATTAAACAAGAATGAGAAAATAACGGCTTAATATGATATCGTCATCGTTAGGAGCAATTGTCCCTTTTCACGTTCGCTCGCAATCATACACCGCGATAAATCATTAGGTCATTTCATTGTGCCCTGTAATTTGATATACACACAATGTTCAAAAGGAAGCGCCTCCAACGACGATTGCCGACATGTGTAATAACGAGGTTCTCGTAACCTTCCGTATCCGTCGGAAGACGGTCGGCCTCTTTCGGTTCGTCGCAACAATATTTTACAATCTAACGGATTTTACGAGCAACTCCCAGCGGTCCCGCGGCTCTTCAATCTTCCTCAACGCGTCTATGAATATAAATACGAAGGCAGCGTGATTTATGCGACCAGGAAAGAACGAGAAAAGAAGCGATAAGAGGACGATTCGATACTTCGGGACTCATTTTATGTCGCGGTCAGTGTTTATGCCCCAGATTTTAGCACCTACCCGAGGGCATTTGAGGTTCCTCCCTGTTGAGAGCTCACCAATTTTTACGACGGTACTCCACGTTGCTTTTTACTCCCTTCTCTCTCACTCGACTTTCTTAAAAACGACTTCTAACCGTTAGCAAACTATGTCGCGAGTCGAAAAAATAAATCATTCCTAGTAAAATGGCGAAAAAAGAAAGATAAAGAAAAATAGTACATTTAAAACTTAATAAACGCTTCTTGGACTCTTACGAAAATTGCAATGTTTTAAATAATTAATGTTTTCTCCTTTGTTGAAAAATCCATCAATTGAGATAGAGAAACAGAAAGAACGATTTTGCTGAAGTAAAAAAATTTAGAGATTGAATACAGATCTAAAAATAATTTTCTTGAACCATCAAAATTATTTAGGAAGCTCAAACATAATTGCAACGTTGGAAAGATTTTGACATTCTAACAATTATTTCAAGCATTCTACATAATTATTTTTATAATTATTTAAACGAACAAAAAATTATTTTCAGATCTGTATCTAACTACATTTTGAGATATAATACTTTAGTAAAATCATTCTTTTCATATGTGAATCAACTCCAAATAAAGTTTAGAGAAATAATAGATCCTAATATTATTTTTCAATTTGTAAAACTAGATAGAGATGCTGTTTGTTTTTATAAGGAAGCCAAGAGAGAATGACTCTCGTACCGAGCAATTTGCGTGCGTAGCGAAATGCAGGCACTGTTTACGCGCCGAGACTGTTTACGTATGCGGGATGCAATCAAACGTACTGACGTAATTTCCAAACTTTGTCGTGTAGAATCGAAATCCAACGCAGAATCGTTATTAAACCTCAATAAGGGGTCATTACGTGCGCGGCCTATTGTTGCCCACAAATCTGACGTACGAGAGCGACCATCGATCGGGGAAAGAGAGAGAGAGAGAGAGAGAGAGAGAGAGAGAGAGAGAGAGAGAGAGAGAGAGAGAGAG